GGGCTTACAATCATTGTTTTACAAAGTCCTTTTTACTTATGAAGCCACTTGCCCTCCTCGACTAACCTAGAGCTTGCCTTCAGTAATGTAATGTATACCTCGGCTGGCTTCCGTTTACCAAATACCCAGATATCAGTCCAATAGGAGTGGAAAATAATAATAAACTTTATTGTAAATTGTCGACACTGAGTCACGAGGTTGTCGCCAGACGCGTAGAGATTGTACAGAACAGTGAGAATTTCGAGCATACCGATGATGCTTTCTCATATTTGACCAATAGTAGTCTCTGTTGGTTGGCATCTAGTCCGGATTGGCTACCGTCTTTTCCACACTTCCCCGAGATTGGTGCACATATAATCAAATTCGACCCGTCGAGTAATGCATTATACCAAGTACTCTACTTCTAACTAACAAGGCCGCGGGTTTGAACCTCAAGTGGGGCACCACTTGGGGTTGGGTGTGCGTGGCTGATGATGGCAAATGAGCCAGAAATGGCCCTTCCAGTCTCCCTTGTCTTTGTCGGTAATGTTATTCTGCCTATATTATTAGTCGCAGTGCGGCGGGGCTCGAGAGTGAGCCCAAAGACACAACGGAACGAGTAAGTCCCCTAACTGATCGGTGAGTGCCTATCTGCCACTAGGCATATGAGTATAAGTATTCAGTAGGTAGCTGGGAGGAGCCAAACACACCTCACCGCTTATTCCACAGTCGTCGAAAATTTGTCGTTAATAAGAACACTACTCGTGGTATGGGGGCGTTATGCAGAGTCATATGCGGAGGAGCGGGGGGAGGGGGTTGGGCAGTGGCTCGGACAAACCCGTGTATCCTTACGCATTTTCTGACTTCCCTCCAATCTGTTCAGTACCAGAATGGCGATGTCAATCCCTTCGCGTCGTGGCCCGTCCGTCTAGTTCAGGGTTCCAGATATGCGTTTTTTGGAGTAACCTTCCTAGACGTTAACGTCAGTTTTTCAATATATGGGCGATTTGAAGTCTAAGGGAACCTGGGTGTTGCCCAGGGAGGATGTCGAGATGGATACTGGCAAGCAGACACATCGACAGTACTGCGAAATATCTGACACTTGTAGAGGGAACCAAGGTTGCTCTGATTTTCCATTTAAATAAATAAAAGTAAACACTTTCTCGTGCATATTCGCGCAGTCATAGGGGACGCACACAAAAAAATCAGCTGACACTGAGGGGCAAGTTCACTGAAGCAGTTGAGAAGATAGCGGACTCTTCATAGCTGGAACAAGGATTTAATTTGCCCAAATTTTGGGGGGTTAACATTCGCCCTAGAAACCATATGACAAATGCTACCGTTGGCTGATGACTCTTAGGCTTAAGATCGGTAAGAAACCAAGTTAAGGGTGATTTGTATGGCCGCCTAAACAAGACACGGGAACAGAAACCATCCATAATGCTGGTGGCTTTGCATTGAATGCCGGGGAAATTGAGTTTAGGATTAATTTGAGGATTAAGTTTAGGATTAGGGTTGGGCTTATGTGAAGATTGAAGGTTTGGATTCGTGTTAAATGCAGGGTTTAGGTCTAGGTTAGGGCTAGAGTCAAGATTAATATAAACGTTTAATTTTAGGTCAGTTAGTGTTAGGATTAAGACATGGAAATATTTACCCTTCGCGAAATGCATCGCAAGGCAACCTACTTTAAGTGGGCGGGATATCTCTATTACCCTGTCCTGTTTAGACAGCCATACAAGACCGATCGAACTACTGGAGGCGACCAGCCGCCAAGACAAGTTGCTTATTCATTTTGAGGCTGGTTACCATGAGGTAGTCGATGAAGGCCACATTTTAAGAACAAGTACCCACGAGGTGACGAGGCCCAGGAAGCTTTGTAATAACCATATCAAAGTCTCCCTTGGCGTCCGGCTTTTGGTGTTGGGTGGGGGGCAACATGGCTTTGTTTTCATAACATATTAATTGAAGGCTCTCAATTTAAGGAGGAATGCGGCATGTACTTCTTGCTAAAGTACCACACAAGCGACCCAGTCACGATAAGGACCCCTGTTAAGAGTGCACTGTATGCCGCTCAAACAACCTGCATCACCTGCGCGTGACAGCCGAATGTCAACAGTTCACGGATGCATGATCATAACTCCTGATGCTGATTTAGTAACCCTTGACCCTGTGACGCCTGTCCACCGTATCTTCTACGGCCCACAAATTTTGCCATTTCTCGTGTTTAGTACACGACCCGTCTACAACCAACCTCCTGTTTTGTACTCATAACCTTGGTGACGCAGCTGAATGCACATAGTTTCATTTTTGCGTACACCACTCCTATACCGGCCCGAAAAACGTACCAAAACCCTCAAATGACTCAGGATTGCAGTGGAGAAAGACCATTGAGGATTATATTGCATTGATTTCGACGTGGATGCCCACGAGCTTAAGGAATAAGGACAGTGGAAATTCGACGCTTTTAAGTAGCAAAAGGTAACTGATCTCCAAGTTGGATTTGATGTGAAGCGGAATGAGCGACTTCTCTCATAGCTACTCTCGGTTTTGTCAGACGTTATCAGACCTGCAGTCAACACATCAGTGATTTTATTAGGAGTATCATTCTCGCCACCCAAAGCTGTCGGTGCAGAGAATTTAAGCCAGAAAAGTTCGAGCATGCAATGTTATCTAGCAGTTGACCTTTGGTTTATGTGACGCAAAAGCTCGTGAAAACATCTTATAAGGAAAGAGGGAAGAAGGTCTGCGATATAGCTCCTCATTGGTGTTGCGTGCGAAATGAAACTCAACAGATGAGTCGGTCAACTGCTGAAGTGGCGTCGTCCTGGGAACATAAATTTCAGATCTCATTAATCAACACTGTCGGTTTTTACCTGGGCAAAAACTATTAGTTCCTTCAGAACAGCAGTCATCCTGCTACCATTTTGGTCGGCATCATATCCGTTGGTCAGGCTGTAGATATAAAAAGACAGTCTGCCGGTTTTGCAAGAAAGTGTACAGCATAAAACAAGTGCCTTTCTCCAAAAGATGGACAAAATCAAGCGCGCGTACCACCCATGCTGATTCAACCGAGGAGGATGAAACAATATTCCGAACACGCCGCTCAAATGCCCCGCACCTTAAGGCTTCCGGTTGCTCGTCATGCCGGGAAGTTTTAAATAAATAGTTGTTCAGCGGTTACTCTCGTCAATGAGGTTTCCCTTTTGTCTCCTTCCGGATAGCATGCGTTCTCCTGGTGACGCTGGGTCGAGCATAGAAAGTTGAGGAGCCTTAACGGCCGAAATTGTGGGGAAATCTATTGTTTGGCGGTTCACGAGACCAGAGAAGGCTAACAACCAAGCTTTCTCGATCGCGATGTGATCAAATGAATGCCTTACTACTTGCACTTTATCCGATTAGCTCCTGTTGTTAGGTGAATCGGCTTCACAGATAGCGGCGATCGGTAACGAGCTCCTCGCAGGTGTCAACCCAGCGCTTTTTCCATTGCCGCAAGCCGTAAATGGTTACGAGGCCCATGCGTTCAACGTCCGACTTGACAGTGTTGAACCACGTCTTCAGCTGACCGCCATGTCGGTATCTCCAGTTTGCACTACGAGAGGAGTTTACGACCAATCTGCAGAGGTCCGTCGATGGCTTGCGCAGGACGTGGCCAAACCATTGTAATCGGCGAGAGTCTGTTCTAATATCACATGTAAATTGGATTTGTGGTAACCTGAATATAGATTATCTGTTGGAAAATTGTTAGGAGCCATGTGAGGAAGATTCTTAAAGTCTGCACACATACTGACACTATTATAAACTGGTCTATCTAGACATCCGGAGGTCCTTAACCTAGTGTTTGAAGAAGCTGGTTTCAAACTCAAAATAGATAAGCAAACTTTTCTTGTTGAATCGGACTTCAAAGCGGATGGAAATTGTCTCCATCCACTCGAACATACCAGCAAAGTCCTGAAGACCGTGCTGTGTCCGGCAATATTAGTCAGTTACGTTCATTTCTAGTTATTTTACTGATTTTGCGTCGTTTTATTAATCAAAGATTAACAAATTTGAAATCCCTCAATCGCTTCCTTGAAAAGCATCGTCATTGAAACTGGATGGAGGCCGAACAATGTGCTTTATAATCAGCAAAAGCGGTTCGTAAATCCTTATCTTTCCTGGAAAATAACCAAACTGAAATTCGATGCTTGTCCGTATGGCGTGGATTGGATTCTCGTGCGCCGAATGCCTTTTTTTCCCGATACGCTGGTTGCTTTTGTGTCTGGATCTGTATCGTGCGGAAACCAATTATTCGCGCCTAGGCAAATAGGTCTTAACAGTAGTTTTTGGCTTACAATGCTTTAACTTGCACCGTTTTACCGGTCCCTCGAAATTTCCACTAATTAAAAAGCTCTTACAGTTTTAGTCCAGCGATTGTGCCCATGTAAGCATTCAGGAGTCCAAATCGTTGAATGTACGTTTTCGATTATTCATCATCAGGCAATTGCAATAATATAAGGGAAGGCGGAGGGACAAAAGTTTAAGCATCCAATCAACAGTAAGTATTAAGGAGAAGTGTTCAGAGATCAAGGGATCAGAGAGGGAGAAGGGGTCCGACAACTAGTTAATGTTGCTCCATCGTCACTGTCTCGCGTCGTGGTAGGAGGCAGGAGGACACATGCTGAGTTGGTCGTCGGCCAAAGAAGACTGTGTGCCTGTACAAACGCCTTCTGCACGGGAATGTAACTCGTTCGTAAGTTGAGAAGTGTCAGCGCTGTCTTTACTTCCAGCCTTGCTGTTTTCCGTTAGTAGAACCTTTTGCGAACAGAGACTGGCTTTTCCGTATGATCTTATCACATGCTCACCTCCATCTCCCCCTTCCAAGCTCCTTCAATGAGTGACATTCCGGGTTTTCGTACGCCTTCTGCGCGTTCCGCGTCTTCCAGTAATGGGACGACTCATGGCATTACATCCCTACCCGAACATGCATCAAACTCCTCCGGGGACAGTTCAAAACACGCGCTGAGGAGAGAGTACTCTGCTCCAACCATCACCGCCACCGCCTCATCGGCTTGTAAGATCGAGGCCCGCACCAGCGTAACGCCACCAACACCAGCACCGACAGTTACTTGTCCGCAGACAGGGCTCCGTTACCCCGCACCCTTTTCTGATGAACCGGCAGCTGTAAAGGCCCTCAACGAGTGTGATTACTCTATTCGTATTACCATGGAGATGGCGAAATCTGGAACATGTACAAACCCTTCATCAGTGCCATTTTTAAAACTTCAGAGGCTTGTTGTTGCTCGGCTTAGCTAAAAACCGCTGATATTTCAGCCTCAGGTTAGGCTGATAAACTCGTGAAACTTGTCTGGTTTGCGTCTTCCGCCCAGAATCCCTAGCCTCAAAAACGTCTGCCATAGTAGAGTTTTAAATAAGCATCTCCTGTCATAGGCTCAAACAAACTGTGCAGTTTATACTATTGCGAATCAGGCCAGATCAAAAGTTTATTGTAGTCTTTTAATTGCCTTGAAAAATTTGTTAACAATTAGGTTGGTCGCCCACCGTTGATAACCCTAGCCTCTCGTCTTGTGGTTACTTTTAGTTTGGTCTTTAGTTTCTTGTTTAGTTGATAAGTTTAATTTTAGGTTTAGTTTAGTCTAGTTTAATTTTTTGTTAAGTTAGATATCGCCAATGTTAGACAGATCTACTTAAATAACTACTGTGTACTAAGCTAAACTAACTAAAATTAGATTAAACTAATAAACTAAATAACGAACTAAAAACTAAACTATTACCGCTGGCCCACAAGGCTGAATTTTGGAGCTAGAGGTATCTAAGGCGGACGACCAACATACTTGTTACCAAAAAATAATTTCGAATTTGGCGTAGTATTCCAAGGTCTACAGGCGCAGACCAAAATTTGATTTAAATTGTGGCAGCTGTCTCAATATCCTCGCGAGGCCCCCCAGGTTTTAC